AAAAAAAAAAAAAAAAAAAAAAAAAAAAAAAAAAAAAAAAAAAAAAAAAAAAAAAAAAAAAAAAAAAAAAATGGTGAGAGGGGGACAACCGACGGGCGACGGCCAACTCCACGACGCTGGCGACGGGCGACGGGCGACTCCATGACGACGGGGGAGTGTAGCTCCCAAGCGATGGCGACAACGGGCAGCAGGAGGAGCGAGGGCGGCTGAACCCCGAACGTAGGCGGCTGGGGAAAACCAAGGCCCCGTTTGGACAGCCGATGCAGGCCGCCCCAGCCAGTCAGTTGTTCAAACGGGGCCTCGTTTTTCCCTCCAAAAATCAAACGGCTCTCTGCCCGTCGATCATGGATGATCGACGGCCGGAGGGCCGTCACAAATTCAAAAAAAAAAACTGGCCTCACGAGCCCGACGCGCCGTTTTTTGGGCCTGGTCGGACCCGGTAGGCCTTGAGGATGCCACAACCCGGCTATTCGGGGTCGGAACCCCCCCCCCAACAAGGTGTGCTGGGGGTGCCCGGCCCCCAACCGGGCCGCCCGCCCGGCCAGACCGCCCGGGACCTCCCCCGGGCAGGCTCTGGTCGGCCGGGTGGCCCGGATCCGTACTCAAGGACCAACGTCTAATGTATACTGGCTCAAGTGTTCCAAGCTTGTCCCCTTCCAAATGATCGATAGGTAACAGAAGATAGTTACCTACCCCAAAGTTCAACAGCCAACGGTGAAAGTGTGCAGGTGTGCAAGATTTGCATACATATACGTGCTCGCGCCACCGAGTCGTGACTTCCCTTGACGTCTTCCCGATATACAGAGCCCTACAGTAAGGCGAGAGGCCAGCATACACAACACTCGACAGGTTGAGAAATCCTATCCCATGCTTCTCATACATGCATACCCAGGACCGAATAAACGTTGCAGCCCATCTGATCTCCCCATCCAGGGATAAACGAAGTACAACTAGACGTAGAATCTCCTCCACACAGTAATCTATACAGGCAGATTGACAACGAAGCTTCGTGAGGTACTTGCACGGGTCCCAAAGGATCGGAATCTCCAATGCACGTTAGTTATCTACCAAACGATGAGACAGTTGTCCAGCCTTACTATCGTTGACCTCTATAATTTCGGTGACATCGAGGCGTTCAAGACCGAACCTCTCACAAACACGACGATCAGCTATTGCAAAGATAGCATCGATCTTATCGCCATAGGGCACGCCTTCCTCCTTGCAGATACGTTGTAGCTCCGTGGCGTCGAGATTCTTGAGATCCTTCATGACGATATCTCGATACCTTAACCGTTGCAGCGCCCCTATTGTCGTCGACGTAGTAGGCTTCATCAGAGTTTTCAGTATCGCAGCAAGCGGCGTTTTAACAGGAGTCTAACGTTTGGCAAACCCCGGCGATTTGAACGTCTTCTTGGATCGAGTCAAACGCCCCGTCAGTTTTGTGGGTTTCAGCACACTCCGCTTCGGTGTTCGTTTAGGGGGTAGCTCCATAGGCGGGCTGTTATCCACCGCTTGTTCCGGGTCTCGCTTTCTCTTCTCAGAGATGCATAGCTTGCCTGTCTGCTCACTCAGTTCCTGAGTCACGCTTGCATCGCTTGCTTCATCCGTGGCCGAGTCACTCCCGGACACATATGTCACCATCTTTTTGCCCTTCTTGATCAACTCCTTCAAAGTTTTAATCACATACTACATCTTAGCGAAGAAATTTTCCTCCATCTCACTCAGCCGGATCGCCACATGGATATCAGTATCCTTTTGAAGTTTTGCCCTTCGTTCGGCCTCAAGTTCAGCTTCCCATCTTCTTTTTTCTAACGTCTTCCTTGCTTTCTGCTCCGCCTTCTCCCTTTCGGTTGCCTCTCGCTCCTTCGCTTCCTTCATCTCGAGCTTCCGCCGTGTCTTCTCTTCCCTCTTTTTGCAAGCCTCGTCGTAGAAATCCTTCATTGCGGCTACAGACTTACCGAGCTCTGCTACCGTGTTCAGAATCTTATCGCTGCCTGGCGGAGGTGATTCCTCCCTCCGTTTGTAGTCCCTCCTGCATGGTGACCGTCCGCCTCACGAGTCAGAAGAGGTTGACGGCTTGTTGGCGTAATACCGCCGACAATTCCTTTCGGGGCACTGATTTGCATAGTGCCCTGATTCGTGACAGAAGAAACACGTAGGCGCTCGGTATCTTCTACGGTCGTCATCCCTACGCTCCTCGTCCCTCCGGTTTTCACTGCAGCGGTCGTCCCTTCGCCGACTGTCTCCTCCAGATCGATCGTCGCGCCGCTCACCCCCGCCATAGTCTGGGTGTCGAGACGACAAGCTTCACAAAAGCTCTCATCCTTCGAACAACAGTCTTCGCCCGTTGGCCACGACGGCACCGGTCTCGGTCTTCAGTGGTACACTCCAAACAATTGATGTCAAAGTAAGGAAACCGGTCACTCAAACCCAGCATACTTCACTCCAGGCGAGTTATCGTGCACGATACACAAGTATGAAAGTCACGAGTCATGAAAGC